GGCACGCACGGGTGTGCAGCTGCCACAGCCCCCAAAACAGCGCCCTGCCCCGGTGTGTGCCCAGCCGGGTGCTCGGTGCTCCCGGGACATCCCAGACCAAACCACGGCCAAGCTCCGGGTGCGTCCCGATGGGACACCCAGGGGGACACGGTGCCCTGGTTCCCATCGCTGGACAGCGGTGGGAAAGTGGGACCTGGCGGTGTTGTGCACCCGTGTCACGGCACAGGCAGCGACACTGGGAACGCCTGTGCCCCACGCAGCGCCTGGATGGAGTTTGATTTCCTGAGGTGGGTATGAGGGACACCAGTGCTGTGTGTCTGCCGTCAGAAATGGTTTGAGGGACAGACAGATGTCAGAGCAAGGGCTGGGAGCTGTTTCTGAACCTTCAGAAACCTTCCCATGGATGCTGTGCCTGTAACATTAAACCAGATTTAAAACGCGACCGGCTGTTCTGGTTCCGTGTGGCTGTTTCCCCCTTTTAGGCTGTTAAACAACGTGCACCACAAAAAAAGGTGTGAATTCCAGATTTAGCTTGTTGGCTTAATTAAAAGTCAGTTCGGGTTGTAGGCTTGTTAACAGAAGGAAAGGTGGTGGTTGGGCGGTGGGGGGGCTCGCCAGCTGGCCTGGTTCTGTTCATCACTTGTTTGCAGTAAATCCTGTGTGTGCCCAGCAGCCTTCTCACAGTCCACACTGCTCAGTTCTGACCTCGGCCTCAGCACAATGTCAGTGACTTATTCCTGCCTCAGTTTACCCATCTGTAAAAGGAAAGTAGAAATGCTTCTTGGTGGGTCGCAGCTGCTGGTGGCACAAGGTATCATTGCTCAGTCATTAATACTGGAGAGGTGAAAAGTTGGGATAACGTCCATTATCTGAGAGTTTCAGGGCTCACAAGCAGAGTTTATATCTAAAGGCGATGTTGCAGAAGAGGGGAACACGGCGCTGTCCTGAGGACAAGACTCTGCTCCAGCTCTGCAAGATGCTGGTGATGCTTCAGTGTGCTTTGAGGAAGGCTCTGTGCTCTTCAACTGGATTCAAGTCAAACTGTGATATCTTGGGGTAGAAAACCCAACTGTTTAGTAAGAAAGTACTTTGATGTCAGTGTCTGCTCACGCTTGCGTTTGCACGTGGCTTTTTGGACACACTTGCAGTATCTCCTGTTCTTGAAGAGTCTGGTTTTCCCAGCAGCATCCTGACCCCCTCCACGCCTGCATCATCCCCTTTCAGCACCCTTTTTGGCTGGTCTCACTCTCATCTCTGGCTGGAAGTGCTGGTCTTGAGCTGTGTGGGAGCTGCAACTCGCGTTTGGAAAGAGCTGCCCGTTGGCATTTCCCAAGGTACTTTGGTCCCTTCCGCTAAAAGGGTCTCTTGCAAAAATGCCAGCGGGGAAAAAAATTGATGATGGGCAGAATTTTTGTGTGTCAAGAGCAGTGCTGGCCCCATGGAGCAAAATAATCTCTGTTTCAATGCACTCCTGCCCTGTCTCATATTTAATAATTGCTTTGTAAGTTCTGGGTCAGGGGTTGTGTCTTTCTCCTCCTGCAGAGGAAGACCTTGGACTCTGGTCGTGGCTCCTGCCCCTGACGTGGGTGGCTGGCACAGGGCACTTGGGGCTGTGCTTGTGTTTGGGGAGCTCCAACTTGAGGGGCTTCAAAGGGGCTGATGCTGCCACGTGGGGACCAGCCATGAGATGGGGTTAGGGGACATCCAGGTTTGCAAAGCTCTTTTAATCAGCCACATCTGTGGGTTTTTGTAATTGGGGTTGGCAGGGCAGCGCCTCATCTCTGGAGCAGCAGCCTGAGATGGAGAGCTTGGAGCTGTGGGTCATTGCAGTTTTGGAGCAGGGACACTCACAGATTCTTATCTCCGCTCTCCTGGCCATGGCACCTCCATGGTCTTCCATGCTGTAGGAAAATGCAAGTTGCCCTGCAACAGTTTCTTAATTAAACCTCACATGAACATGTAAACCAAATTTTGATTAGGAAAAAGCCCAGCAAGGACTCTCTGTGAATGTGGTTTGAGTCCTGCGAATGGACAGATGCTGACTGCGAGCAGGGCTGTTGTGAGTCCGACGGAAAATAGACCTCGGGGAACCTACCCAGAGTGTAAAGGGGTTGCAGTGTGGGGTGGTTAATGTAAAGACAGTGCTGAGCTCTCCGTGCTGCTGGTGGGTCCTCTTCCTAAGCAGTCGCCTCCCTTAACGAATAAATAACCCCACTGCCAGCAAATGTCATGTTTTTCTAAATACCAGTGTCATTTTTAAATCATTATCCTGATGTTTTTGGCTAGTGGTAGAATTTATCAGCTCTCAACTCTCCTGGTTGTGTTTCCAATAAATACTTGAACACTTTATTTGGCAAAGAGCTTCTTACATCCTTTGAACCATCCTGTGACATTTGGAGCAGCAGAAGGAGTTACTGTGCAATCCAGTGAGTCCCAAAGTCCTGCCTGTGCTTAGCAAAGCCAAACCAGTCCTGAACCGATGAGAACTGCGGTGTCTGGATATGGTTAGTTTGGTTATTAAGATTTTTAAATCAAACACTGGAGCTTGTTTTACATTGCTCTTGTAAATAACGAACAGCAGCTACCAGGAGGAGAGCAAAGATTTGTTTTGTGTAGTTTTAGCACCGTGTTTATGCTCCCAGAAAACCAGTGGTCATTTTCTGTGGGTGTTGATGTGCCGGTAGATCAAGCAGCCATGCAAATAGCCATTTAACTCGTGCCTTCTCTGCTCGGTACTAACTCTGCAAACTCTGTTTTTCAAGTTATTATTTGCCCAGAGGGCATTGCTTGGTGCCTGGTTAGCTCTTCCTGAGGTTTCCCTGCACTCGGGAGGGTGGTAAAATCATTGCAGAGTGGGGTGGAAAGCAGAGCACGTTTATTCCCAAGCAGAGAGAAGGGTGTGGGAGCAGAAGCACCTCTCAGTGGCCTTGTAGTTGGTTGGTGTGTCCTCTTTGTGGCCAAACACTAATTGGGGACTTCAGAGGATCAGTGAGCTGTGATAAAGAAGTTCCTCAAAGGAGCATTTAATTCTGCAGGGAGGGGATGGGTTAAGCTCAGGTTGCTTGAACATACATAGGGTTGGGATGGCAGTGGTGGCCAGGAGGCATCTGAACTCCCAGGCGTGGGTCTGTGGCTGGTTTTGTGGTTTGTTTTGGTTTGTTTTTTTTTTCCCCTCTAGGTCTTTGTCTTTTTTTTTTTTCTTTTCTTTTTTCCCCCAGATTTAATCTGGATGTGAAATCAGAGTTCCTGCTCTTTGATTTAGCCACCCATTTGATGGGGAGAGATTGGGATCAACAGAAGATTAGAGCTTTGTTACAGAGTGGGATGGGAATGAGGAGCTCCTGAGTGGGAAAGCTCAATAGAAAGAGGAAATGAGATGAGCACAGAAGATACTCTTTGTTTTGCAGGAACTTCATTAGTGTCCGTTTAAACCGCGCTGGATCTGTGCTGGTTTGATAGCGCTTGATCCCTTCCTTGGTTGTTTGCAGGACTGCCTATTGACTCCCAAAAAAACAGGGTTTCACTTGCTTCCTTCAGAAGTGAGGACCAAATGCAACGGGTAACTTAGAAGGGCTCTTCCTACCAATCATTTCTTCTCCTGCAGGAAACACACAAAGTTTACAGGCAGAAACTGGAAGAAGTCACCAGCTTGCAGACAGCCTGCAGCAGCTCCATACAGCGGCAGAAGAAGACACTAAAGGATCTGAAGCACAATCTGCAACGGTAACAGGAGACCTGGAGGGTGGACGAGGTGGGGATGGGATGTTTCTCCTTCCCAAAGGGACAAAATATTTGGAATTTTGTCATTTTAAATACGCAATCTGTGTCACAGTGGTAATATTGCTTCATATTGTTCTTGAGTCACCTCCATCTATCACAGCCAGGTGAAATGTTTGTAACCCCATGAGAGATGGAGTCTTGTAAATAAAGAAGATCTTTGAGGGAGCCTGTGTGGGTTTGCACCCTTGCAGTATGTGCTGTACGCTGCAGGACCGTACAGCGTTCGGTCCGTGTGCTTTCCTAGGTGAGCACAGCTTTGCTCCGTAAGCTGTGCTGGAAGAGCAGCATTCATCCTTGAACACGAAGGTGTAACTTGCTCCTGGGTGGATTTACAAGAGGGAACTGTCTCTGGCTGCTTGTCTGATCCCTGGGAGCCACAGGCTAAATTCCTTGTGTACAGGTCTGAAAGCAGCACCTCCAGCCCCAGGGGCTGTTAACGCCGCTGTGCACTGCTCTCTGTTTTACATTAATTAGTAAAACTGCAGTTTGTCAGTAAATCATCAGCTGTGTGTTTTGTTACATCCTGAAATATTTCATGCCTGAAGAGCTGTAGCCTCTGCAAGGGCAGTGCCTGAAAGTTCCCAAAGTGGAAGGAATTCCTGCAAAAAAAAAAAAACCAACAATGTTCCCTAAGTGCTCTGCTAGGGAAGTAGTACAGGGTCCCGTCAATGAGCTGGGATAAAAAGAAAAGCTGATTTACAAACCAGCTGGTTGAAATAACCTCCAACAGCATAAACCAGGCAGTGAAATAAAATCATAGTAAGCCAAACAGTGCTGCAGGAATACAGGAGCAAAGCACACAGTGGCATCGACTCGCGCAGTTAGCTTTTTAACAACGTGGATTTTATGACAGTGTTATTTTCCTTTAAATAAAAAGGAAGTAAAAACATAAATGGGAATATCTTCTTTCTGTGTTCTTGCAGGTGCAAGCCCAGAGCGAGTCCTGAAGAGTTTGCTCTCATTCAGGAGATCAGCACCCAGATCAAGGAGAGGCAGAATGCCTTCTTTGACATGGAAGCCTACTTGCCGAAGAAGAACGGGTACGTGCTTCTCCGGGGAGGTGTGTGCTCCAGGAAGGCTGATTTTTAAGTGTTCACAGCGGTGGTGTTCCTGAGGATAATGTGCATGTTGAAGAAATAACATGTAAAACTGGATTAGTCATGAATCTCTTGCTGAGCTGTTGTGTCAGTTGTACACAGAATTCATTAGCTGTAAGTGTATGTAAATGTACTGCTTGTAGGCAGTACAGATTTTCTTGTTAAAATAAAAGTAACCCTGCCCTGGCAAGAGATTGTGCAGTTCCTTGTTTCACACTGATGTTTTACTGTGCTAATTTTTTTAAGACTAAATCAGCACAGGAATTTTCTCTTTTTTTTTTTTTTTTTTAACATAATGCTTTCAAGTGACTTTCAGTTTTATACTTTGCTCCAAGTGGGGTTGCTAAGGTGGATTTATTTCAGTTGTCAAGGGCTGTGCGATGCTGCAGCCCCTTGAAGTTTCTATCAGAAACTTTTCTTTCAATTTTTCCCCATTATTTTTGGTTTTGGACACTGCATACTGCCTATCTTGCCCTTAGACTGTAGCATGGGAACGGACCAGGAAAATAAACTTTCTCTCTAACTTCTTGGAGATGCTGACCAATTTTTCCACGTTTAAATCCTTTTCTGTAGTCTATCTCTCCAGTTTGCCTTAATTAAAACCCTACAGCAAACATGGCTTTGGCAGATACGCTGGTCTCTCCATTTCTGGTCTGTGCCATCCTGCAGCGTTCAAATAAAACAAACTTACATGGGTCCACCTTGTTTTTTGTCTTCCAGCCTGTACTTAAATCTGGTGCTGGGAAATGTGAATGTAACTCTCCTGAGTAACCAAGCAAAGTAAGTGAGCGTTTCTGTACGTGTGAGTTTGGATTTCTCCTGGGCCAACCATGGATATAGACTGAAATCCAGAGACAGGGGTGGGTTTCTCTTACATCTGATGAAAAATGAAATGTCGAGGGTGGGCAAGTCAGACCAGGACACGGGTCAAGCTAACGCTTCGTGAGCTCTGACGGGTTTTGTCCATCACTTGCTTTTATGCCCAGCTCAGCCTGTTGCCTTAATTGTAAGGGGGGTTTGCAATGAAAAATTGCAAACTTCTAAGCAATGCATTGCTTCAGAAAATTGAGTTTTGGTGGTTTTTTTTCATTTCATTTTTAAAAAATCATATCATGCCAACCCAGAGACCAGCTCTTATGGACTTCAGCCATTGGGTTCTTTTGCAGTGTACTGGCCATGCAGCCTAGACAGACCCTGCTGGCAGAACGCTGCCTTTCACCTCCATCCACTGGTTTCTAAATGTTTCAAGCAAAACCTCACGTCTCTGGGCTTGGCTCCTGATTTCTATCTAGTTTGAAAAAAACAAAGCCACATTCCAGCAGAACGCCCATTTGTGTCTGTAAACATCGGCTGTTCTCTTCCAGGTTCGCCTACAAGGACGAGTATGAGAAGTTCAAACTTTATCTGACAATAATCTTGTTACTCGGGGCTGTTGCCTGCAGGTTTATTCTCCACTACAGGTAAGCTGCATTTTTATTTTTAATCAACTATTTTGAATAAAAACAAGTTGGGTTTGAACTAACTGTTCTCTTCTGTGAAGGACAGCAAGATGGGCTCTGGCAATGCTTAAACTTTGAGTAGCTGGACAGCAGGGACAGCTTTTGCACCTCTTCATCACTGGCAGGACCTGTATTTTAGCTAATTGCTTTTCCTCATTTAACTTTTTTTGGTGTCTTTTGTAACTTGGAGATGTCCAACATCACGTTTCCTGATCTGTCGTTTTTCTGGCATCGTGCTGTGCTTGGGAATGAGCAGTTGGTTTTGCTCACGGGGTGTCCCAGGCAAAGTCCAGCACCATGCTGCAGCTCTGGGGTTGCAAAGGCAACAAGAGAGGATTTGCCTGAAATGGTCAGACCTGAAACGTTGTCTCTGGGTTGTGATAAAGTGTCTGAGCACCAACAAGCTTCCACTTTTCCTTGAAAAACAGGGAAGTGTTGGAGCCGGGTGCTTTTACTGAGGTCTCTGTGAGTCCAGGTGAGTGCAGGATCGTACCAGGGAATGATGCTGCTGTGTGCAGAGGCTGCCCCAAAACCCTTTAGTTTCAGGGGTTTGCAAATGGCAAAATGAAAATGTCTTTTCCTCCCCCCACAGAGTGTAATGCTCTTCTGCTCTTTTAGTTGATTGGATTTATATAGATCTCATGGAATCTCCTCATTGAATTAGCCTGGAAATGCCTCTCTAAATTGGATCATCTGCTGCTTCCATGGTGCTTTCTCTCCTTCAGAAGGAATTAATGTCATCTCTGCATACCTACTTATCGACTCAAGATCTGCACTGTTATATCACAGGGCACTTCCCGGAGGAAAGGACTCTGAGCCTGACGGTGCTGCCCATGTGTGCAGTTCTGCAGGTGGATTAGAGATGGTCAGGACTGGGGCTTTGTGTCCCTGGCCTCACTTGGGCGGGTTTTCATTTGCCCAAGAGGAGGGAGGGAAAATAGGGATTTTTTTTGAATGTGTCTTTATAATTAACAGCGGGTTTTTTTTTTACTGTGTGTTTTTTCTACTTTACAGGGTGACAGATGAAGTGTTTAACTTTCTGTTAGTGTGGTATTACTGCACGCTGACGATACGGGAAAGCATTCTCATTAGCAATGGATCCAGGTACTGTGCCACCTGCAAAAACTATTTAAAGCATGAAATGTCCTTAAAAGAAAAACAAGTCACAAAAGCAGAGTCAGCTGGGTGCTGAGGGAAAGTTGGTGGTTAGGAGATAATTGTATAAAGAGCTGGGAACGTCAGTAAAACCCCGGGAGAAGTTAACTGAAAGATTCCTTACTGCAAACCCTCATTCTTTGTGACACCTTTAGTATCCCAAGGCAGGGTGGTGAGGTCCTGCTGGTGAATCAGCCCTGGAACATCTCCCTTAGGTCTGGGTCGAGAAGTTGCTCGAGTTTGCACTTGTGTAACTTCACCTGGAGCCTGGCGTTAGATGGTTGCGTGTCCCTGGTTTTTATCATCCAGAGAGGCTGACACGGGGAAGCCGCAGCAATCGGCACATCTCCCACACGTGTCGCTTTGCTGCTGGGTGAGTGGCAGCTGCTGCTGCTGCAATGTTTGCAGCTCCCTGTTGCATTAATTAATTCAGCTTCTAACTTGTCTCATTTCCCACCTCACGAGCAGCCAGCATCGCGTTAGCCCAGCTTCCCTCGCGCGTTCTTGCTCTGAACACTGCACGGGGAACTTGTGCTCTCCCTTGTAGTGGGGCTTGTACAGGTGTGGACCAGCACTTGTGTTAGTGACAGGAGTCAGTGTTGTCTTAATTAACTGGCGTTGCCTAACGATCAGCGGGGCTGATCATGGCTCCTTGTTTTCACCAGTCACTTCCCTCTCTGAAGCCAGTTGCTTCCATGATCTCCTCAAAATGGGGATGGGAGGGAGCGCTCCTGGGGAGTCTTGTCTCAGCATTGCCGGTGCGATGCTGGTGGTCCCCACTCCTCATGCAAGAGCAGGTTTGGGCCTGGGGGCAGGAACCAGTGTGGTGTGTGTGCAGGGAAAAAAAGGGACCTCGTGCTTTGCCTGGGTCAAAATCTTAAAAATGTGCTGATTTCTGGGAGCTGCTTGAGGACACAGTTCCCAGCACAGACAGCGGGCAGAGGGATGGAGCAGTCGGTTCTGCAAGCACGGCAGTCCCCTGGGCTGCTGCAGGCAGGATGTCTTGTTCTGAGGTGCTTTCCAGAGGGGGGAGGATTGCTGCAGGGCTGGAGACAAAGAGGAAAAAACAAAGCATGGGGATGTAAAGTCACTTGCCCGAGGTCAACAGAGAAACCTCTGGCTGAGCCTGGGCTCTCTGCAGGCACATCACAGTGACTCAGCACTGTCTTGTGTTGGAGGTTACATGCCTTTGGTTGGAAATACCCCAAATTAACCAAATTTCCTTGACCAAATTTGCAATCCCCAAAATTAACCAAATACCCAAATTTACTTAGTTTCCAAAGCTATGCCATCCTGGGGATAGCTCTTCATGCTTGATTCTGCCTTGCTACAGCCTTTGCTCTGTCTGCTGTGATTTTCTGAGCTTTCTGCAGCGTTCGTGTCGGAAAGAAACAGCCTCCTCCTGGGAAGGACTTGGAAATGTCACTTATTTGCATGGCATGGCAAAAAAAAAAGGGTGTGTGGGCTGAAACTTGTGCATCATTAGTCACTGTGGTACCTTGTGCTGTGGGCACTACTGCTTCTCTCTGTGCTGGAGAGCTTGTGGGAGCATGTGAGATGTGTCCTGGTCCTGAGCCTCAGCCTCCCTCCAGCAGTCGTGGATTTGTGCTCCCAACTAAGCCGTGTTGCCAGGACGGTGCTGCACAGCATTGAGTTAGTCTGTCTCTTGTTCCCTGTCCTTCCTCCTCCCCCAAGTCAGGACCATTTTATGTCCATAAAACCAGATTTACAATGCTAAAATCCATGTTTCTTGTCTAACTGCCGTGTTTTTTTCTGTTTAGGATCAAAGGCTGGTGGGTGTCTCATCACTACGTCTCCACGTTCCTCTCTGGAGTGATGTTAACGTGGTGAGTCTGCTCTCGCCTGCTCGAGGTGCTTCAAGCCTGTTCCACAGCGTTTGCATCATCTTAGCATTTAAATCCAGCATGTCCACAAAACTGTGGCTGCAGGGGCACATGGCAAAGCATCAGACTTAAATTCTGTTAGGGATGTTTTCAGTGGTAAATACAACACTGCAAGTTTGGGTTTACATTGCTGGGTTAAAAAAAAAAAAAAAAAATTCCAAACCTTAAGCTGTAGTTGCGCTGGTGGTAGCAAAACCTCTGCAGTCTCCAGATATGTGTCCCTGTGTAACTGGGCAAACAAGAGCCCTTTGCTTTAGAGGGTGGACGTCACAAAATGAATCTGTCTGGTACTTTTGCTAAACCCAGATTACAAACTGAGTATAAAGCCAAAAATGCGAGTTACTTCCCAGTGGGCAGTGGTGGGTCAAACACAGCGGCGCTCCCCGTATGCAGCCTCTGTGTAACCCGGCTCAACTTTGGCATGAACTGATTAGTTAATAATTAAGAATTACCTTAAGACAACAAATGTTTCCGCTCCTGCGTGCGTAAGGGGATGACGTGGTGGCTGGAGCAGAAAGTCCTCTGTCCTCTGACTACCCTTAGGATAAGGAGCACAACCACCCCCTGCTCCACTGCTTGGATTCGTGATGCAGACGCTGCTGAAGGGCTTTGCTGCATAGAGAAAACTGTGATAAGCAAATCAATAAGAGGGGACAGTGTTTTTACATGTTGGAGAGGGGAAACCTAATTGTTGAGAGTGTTTCCCACACGGCAGAGTCGTGATGTGTGGCTGTATCATCCTCTCTGGGCTCCCGACGGAGTGGAGTGGAGTGGGCTGGGTACCAGCTGGTTGCTTCGTTTGCTAATGGGATCTGGCTTGGTGGTGAAGGGGAAGGGCACTGCGTCCTGTGCTTTTTATCAAATAGACCTCCTTTGTGTTTTGCTTTCAGGCCAGATGGACTCATATATCAAATGTTTCGCAGTCAATTTTTAGCATTTTCAATATTTCAGAGTGAGTATATCTTACAAAACTATTTCATCCTGTGAATTAGCACGGTATCTTACACGCTTGAAAGAAAACACTTCTTGGTAAATACTGGAGTATTAAACTACAACTATAAACCATACCATGCAAATATACAATGTACAAATATAGATAATAATTAAATGCTGTTGGATTAAATGTTATTAAAATAGTTTGTTACGTTTATTGTACTACTGAAAAATAGCCAGTGCCGTGATGTTTTCTCTCTCCTTCTCCAGGTTGCGTTCAGTTCCTGCAGTATTATTATCAAAGGGGCTGCCTTTATAGACTCCGTGCTTTGGGGGAGAGGAACCACTTGGACCTTACAGTAGGTGAGGTTTTTTGCCAAGTTTTTGCTCAGGTTTTAGATGCAGTGACAGGGAGAGGGCTGTGTGGCCTTCCAGGAGCTGCCACCCCCCTGCCCTGCAGCCCATGTCCTATGGCAGGAAGGGGAGCGAGTGTTTTATCCCCCTCCTCGGGTCCTGTGGGTCGGGAGCAGAGGGCTCTGATCTCCCTCAGTTCTTGAGAGAGTTAAGATGGAGGTTTTGCTCATCTTCATCCTCATCTTCATCCTCCTCCCATTACCACACCTCCAAGTCTGTATTTTAAATTGGTTGGTTACTGTGGAGCAGGAGGGGAATAGCCCTTATGGGGTGGTCTGGGTGGAAAGGGCTGCAGCTCGGGTCCTGTGCTCACTCTCCATCTCTTCTGTTAACCTTTTCCAGAAGGATTTCAGTCCTGGATGTGGCGGGGGCTGACGTTTCTCCTTCCCTTCTTGTTCTTTGGTCATGTAAGTCGGGCAATCCCATTCTTCCCTCTGCAGCATGAGGCCTGGGAGGGTCTGCTGCTGCCATTGCAGCTCTGTAAAGAGGTGCTTTAGATCATGTGCACCCATGGCAGATGTTTCAAAGATTTGTGGTTTTTTGCTAGTAAATTACATTGATTTTTTTTTTTCCTTTTTAGTTCTGGCAGCTATATAATGCGATCACGCTTTTTGAATTGTCGAGGCATAAGGAGTGCAAAGAATGGCAGGTGAGTGTTAGTTCTGCTTAGAAAAAGCCCAGAGCAGGGGGAGAGGGGGTGTTTAACCACATTCTTAAAGATATTTGGGCATCTTACCCCATCTAAATGTCTTGGCATGATGTGGCACAGAGCCTGTAGGAGAGAACTCAAAATAAGTGTGAGTTACTGTGGGGAAACTTTCACCCGTGGGTGACAGCACAAACTGAGAGGCAGAGGGTGTAGGGGGGAGAAAATGCACGTGGGTAAATATCTCTCTGTGTTGTTCCTGTGTTGGGGCATTTAATAGCCATGGCTGCTGAGCTGCTGGTGGTTCTTTGTGGCTGATCCATGTGTCATGCATATGAAAATACGACGACAAAAAAACAATAGCAGTGAATCATTTCAAAAACATATTATCCACTTTATTACCTCACTTTTAGGGATCTTTCCACTTGTTTTCTCAGTTGCTGTCACCCAACTCTCTAGTTTCCAGCTAGAGAGTTGCTCCTGTAGATCCAAATTGGATCACATCACGTGTGCAGCGGTGCAAATCATCTGAGGGTCTTTATTTTGGTCAGAACCTGCTGTAGCTGGTGTGGTCACGTTGTTCACTGGTGTGGTCACGTTGTTCACTGGTGTGGTCACGTTGTTCACTGGTGTAACAGGAGGAACACAGCTTCCTGCAGAAACATGTCGTTCCTCCACGCCCGTGCCATGGCTGTGCAGTGAAAGTGCTTGTAGCATAATGTTAATTCATTAGATGGGACTTAATGATTTGATTTTACTGTCTGGTAGAGTCCACCTATGTTGAGTATAATCCATGCTGTAATAAAAAGTAGTAAATCCTACTTAAATTATGATAAAAATATTTCCCACTAACACACACAGCTGGGTGTGTGGATGAGTATTTGCCTACGATCATCTCTCCTTGGACTTAAATGTGGTTTAAGGGTTTAAGCAATACCCTCACCTCTTGCCTTTTTTTTTTTTTCTCTCCTTCTTCTCCCCTCTCAGGTTTTTGTGTTGGCGCTCACGTTTCTGCTGCTCTTCCTCGGGAACTTCCTCACTACTCTGAAAGTGGTGCACACTAAACTCCAGAAAAACAAAGACAAAATGAAGAAGCTGTGAACTCCCCTTTCCTGGCGTGCCGACTGCCGTCCCTCCGCCCGCGGCAGGCGCTGGCTTTGGGATGGATCCTGCTGTCAACCCCAGCTACGCCGTGGACGGGCTCAGGACTCATCTGCCCCCATGCTTGGTGAAGGATACGGACTCTGCCAGCACAGACTCAGTATTACGCAAGCACAGCTCTCCAGTCCACAGCTCTGCTATTTATGTCTATTTAATACAAAACATGTTTGCTTTTATTATTATTTTTTTCTGCATATAGAGCAGCATGCACCTGCCCGGTGAAGCGCCAGCCTTGGGAGAATGTGAGATCTACTGTAATTCCAATTCTGGAATGATATTTAACATTTTCCAGTTTTATTATTTAAATTCTGGGTATTGGATTTGCAAAGGTTTATGAACACTCCAGATAGATCAGTAATACAGACCGAATGCTGTTTTTTAAAGGCATTTATTTAAGGCATCTTTTCAGTGGCAATACTAACCTGTGTGTACTGTGAAAAAAAAATGCCCATCTTTGTACCATACTGCTGCTATATACACTTTAAAAAAGCTGTTTAAAGAAGAGAAATCCTCTTTTGAAAACAAAAACAAGTAAACAATACCAGTTGTTAAATGGCAGGGGAGTCTGCTCGCCCTATTCCAGGGAGACCAGGTCATCTGTCCAGGCCTGGAAAAGACCTAAAATAAACTGTTGAATATGCAGCTGCTTTGGTCCCCTGTTTAATAACAAATACACTGTCCTGTGGGTTGTATTTTTGAGACACTGTTTTTCCTGAAAATGGCCTTGATCAGTGGCAATAAGCACAGTTGCACTTTGGTTTCTGTTTGCAGTATTTTTTGTTCCCAGTGCTGTTCTGGAAAGGGGAGGACAGGCTCAGCGGGAATATTAACTACTTTCTTTAGATGCTGCGCTTGTTCCGATAGTTAAGAGAATGTAAACACTTGTTCAGGAGGATGGCAGAGGACAAACACTGACTCACTCCTTGTCAACTTAACTCATTCAGATGGGCTTGTTTCAGGTGCTGTGGTACCTCCTAAGGCCAGCCCCAGTGTTGTGAGCTGCTTCAGGGAGCGTCTTTCCCAAGGGTGAAGGCTTCCTCTGAGCTACCACAAAGCCCAGATTGGGCGTATGCTTTGGCAGAATGTGATCTGAAAATGATGCCCTTATCTCCCAGTAAGTGTGCTCCTGAAGAAATAAATACCCACTACAGACTTGAAATGGTTGCCCCAGTTCTCCTGTTGCTGCAAAGTCACCTTTACAGAGTCACTGTCCCGGGGGCATGAACCATACATTGCAATTTGTGTATTTTGAACAACTTCCACTAGCTGGGCTGTACTTTGCTACGTTAACTTTTGCCCACCCTGTAAGGTTGGTGTGGGGTTTTTTTTGTTTGTTTGTTTTTTAATTTATTCTCTCAATTTATGAAATATAAACTGTTTTATTTTGAGAGCGATGCTGGAACCTGCAGGATCTGAGCCGCGGACCTGGTTCTCCAGGGGTGGGGAGCTCTGCGTGTGGTGAGTCACTCGAGTTCAGCAGCATGAGAAACTCGGATTAAAAAAGGAAGAAAAATTCCCACAGTGGAACTGAGGGTCAAGGCAGTAACTTCCTGCATGTTGGTGTTTCCAGTTTCATACTGCGAGGTGATGGGTGGTTCTGTGTCTTTTTGCTGACAAATGTCTTCTCGTGGAGAAAGGGCTCCACAATTCTTCAAGGTTTTTCTGTAGTTAGATGTGCACAAGCTTGTAGTTGGTGGTTTGGTTTTGGGTTGGTTTTCTTTAATTTTCCATTTTAAGCTCATAGGGATTCATAAATGTTAATTAAATCAAAACAAGTTAGGGGAAGGAGAAAAAAAAAGTTAAGAATCAAGATCTCTTCACCCTGTGTGTAAAATATTAACGATGGCTCACTCCAGAACAGTTTTCCATCAGCAGAGGATAAAATTGCATGAAACTGGTCTGATGTAGTTACCAGATTCTATGTGCAACGTTTGTGTAACAGACTCCTGGCATACACCACCTACACTTTTTGGCAAAGATTGTGTCTTGTTACTGTTACTCAAGTCCTATGTGTTCTCCCCTGGGATGGGCAGTGGTTTGTGTTACAGAGGAAGCTTTCAGCAACACCTGTACTGCAGAAACCTCCTCCCACCATGGGTTTGGTTGATATGATGACTACAAACAAGTGATTGCACCTGAAATCAGAGATCTCGCTGCAAGGGATGTGCAAAAGAACTAGGAGGTGTGAGGCACGTGTACGAGGTTGTGCAGTGGGAGCATCCCTCGTCCTCAGACACCTTCATCACAAAAGGGAAAACTTTCATTTTTAGCAGTAGAGATGATTTCATCAGCTAATGAACACGAGTTCAGTATTTCCCCTTCCACGCACCAAGATTGGCATGTTGTGTATTAAATAAGCTCTGTAAGGTTATTGTAAAACTGGCTTTACATATAGTAGCTGCCTGGAGCACTTTTAACTTTTGAGTGCTGTAAATTATCCATGATAACTCCATTTCTGAACTGGAGCAACTGATGTATTTCCACTGATAAATCTCACTTTCTGTTCCAGCAGCAGGCTGTGCAAGGACAGCTCTAAAGCTGCAGCTCTGCAAAGCTGGCTCAGGAGTACTGGATGCTCCATCTGCCCACTCTGGCGGCAGCTTGAGGCCAACTAACTCATACCACTGCCACCAAGTAAATTAACTTGAAATTGTTAAGACAACTTCATTTTTGTCTCTTCAAAGGTGCCTGATAAACTGCTTTATCACTACTTCTAAAAGAAGTGGCTTTTCTGCTTGAAAAGAAAGTAATTTGTAGCTATAAAATGCCACAATTATTTTGCAGAGGAAAAAAACCCCACTAATTAAATCATATATTAGCAGTCACTGTTCACTGCAATTTAAATAGAGTCCAAGACCTGACTAGTGGTCATTTGCAGTTAGAAGCAAAAGCCAGATGGACAAAGGTGTACAGCATGAGTTAACCTTGCTAAAGAGCTTTGAAAACATTGTGACAGCAGTGCAACAAAAGTGCAAAAATATTAAAAAAATAATTAAAATTTTAAAATAAAAATTGTCCTAGGAATACAAACACGTAATGAAGAAAAATGGTCTTTAAAGTTACACTGTTTTTAAAATTGAATGGCTTGGCTCTCGTGCGGTCCCTGCTCTCTCACAGTCCAGGTCATAACACTGAGCACACTGTCCATCTCCTCTGGCGCTCGGCTTTTTTCATGGCAGTCAGTGCAATGGTTGTTGCTTCTTTAAAAACATTTTCTATGTTTTCACGACATTTTGCTGAGCACTCCAGATAAATTTCTGCATTAATCTCCTGACAAACTGCTTCACCCTGGAAAGAACAAAAGGTAAGAAACGATGTAAAGCCATGAGAGAGGAAGGTGAGATGGGAAAGAAAGGGAATTATTTTCTACATCTTTATATCAGGAAGAAAGAAGCTGCCTATGAGTAGAAGTGGCATTGGTAATAAAAGTCCCAGCGTGGTTTAGTGGTGACACAGTTGCAGTTTCTTTTCATGCTGTTTAGAAAAAGTAGTGATTCATTCAAGGTCTCGGTGCACCTAACCTTGTTCCCCGGTCTTGCGTCTCAAACAGTTCAAAAGCTGCTGTTCGTGCTCTGAGAGGAGAGGAGAGGAGAAGGATGGCTTTGTAGGTTAAAAGAAAAAGTAGGAGACCAGAGCAGAAAGGTCTCGTGTGACATGGGACAAGCTGTTCCATCACTGACTCTCTCCTGTACCTAGGACAGCTAAGCCTGTCCTGTCACACTACTTGTAAGTCTCACTGCTTTGTAATACTTGAATTGTAAACATTTGATAATATGTAGAATTTTTAAGATTACTTTAGAGACTTCAAAGAACAGTCTCTAATGTTGGAGAAGCCTTGCAGATGTTTTTGCTATTGTCCTTGAAAGTATTTATTTTTAAACTGGGTTTGCAACCCACATTTTTCCCAGAAGAGTCAGTATTTTTAATCCTATAGTGTGTGCCCCAGCATCTCCCGTCTTTCTCACAATCCTGATGAAAGTTATCAGTGAAGGGAGAAATGTATCCTCATAAAAATTATCAATTTGCTGAGGCTTACAAATTTGTAACAGTAATAACCCAGCTGTGAAAGGAAACAAGAATGTTGTGAGTGTAGAAGGCGTGGCTAGTAGTTTCCTTTCAGACACCCCAATATACACAAAATGCTCTTCAAATTTCTCTTTACTTTGGTACTAAAAATGGGTGGTGATTTGGCCGCTTCCAGGAAGGACTCACAGACCCCCCTGTTAGTGCCGACTGTCAATAATTGATCTGGACACTGTGATCACATAATTTTGGAGACTATGTGATTGCACTTGTGAGCAATGATGCCACTGAAGTGAGCATGCTTTATCTCTTGCAGAGAGGACACTACGTTAAACGCACGTGTGTTTACCTGGTTGTAAGTAATGGGTTCCTGCTTGGAAGCCCTGAGCTTGCGCAGCTGTTCCTTGTCTTTCCGAAGGTCTGTCTTGCAGCCGATCAGTACAAGCGGGACACCCTGGCAGAAGTGATTCACTTCAGGATACCACTGAGGGTAGAAAAACAAAACTTTTACATCTAGCCCCTTTTTTTTTTTAAACAAATCAAAACAATGAAGCCAAGGACAAGAACCAGCATTTAATATATGCTGCAATTTCAGCATTTTGAGAGTCATTACTGTAGTGTTAGGGGCCCAATGTGCACTATTTACCTTATAGAAACATTTAAGACCTACCCAAAATCAGCTGCTTTGTAGGCTGCCCAGGGAGGGTGTGGAGTCTCCTTCTCTGGAGACATTCAAGACCCACCTGGACGCCTTCCCGTGTGATCTCATTTAGGTTCCTGCTCCGGCAGGGGGGTTGGACTGGATGATCTTTTGAGGTCCCTTCCAATCCCTGACATTCTGTGATTCTGTGTGATTCTGTGATCAGCTGCTATGCCAAAGCTCACATCTGTTTAAATCCAGAAGAGCTCCTCTACAG